AAACTTATAAAAAGTCACGGAAAGCAACTGAAGAAGATAACAACAAGTCTATGTTTGCCCACAAGCGGCCATTTTTGACGGCTTTGACAGGTCGTTGGAATGCCTACTACAGGTAGGTGGAATCAGTGTAGTAAATAGTAATTTAAATTAAAAATTTGCATAGTAGGTATAAAGATAAATTGTTATTATTTCTTTAGGTAAATTAAACCAATTGGTTTAATTATTATTAATTAAATATTAATAAATTCTAAATAACCATGTATATTTTATGCATTGACCATGATGTTCTTTTCAGAAAGTCTTTGATGTTTCATACAAGCAAAATAGGAAGCTGAAATGCATTTTGTATGTTTATTTGGATGAGATTGACAATTCTGACAAAAACGTTATTGAACAGGTTTTATTCCAGCAATACTTGGGCTGTCTGAGCAACAATACAAAATTAAAACAGTTTGTTGTTTATTAATAACGAAAATACTAGGTCTCAAATTTCGTTCAGCTTGAAATCTCCTCTAATAAATTCATTTCATGAACTTGTTTTATTTGTTTATAGCAACACTGCCATACATTTTGCTTAACCCTTTGTTTCCTAGACTTGGAAAATCTAGATCCACATGACTTGTTCGATTTGTTAGAGGAATCCCCCACGACAACCTCAGTGAGCTGGGTGATGTCAGTGAGGACGAAATTGTAGCAGAAGAGGAAATTTCAACCAATAGGCCATTGTCAAGCGCAACTGATGTTTTTGACATAGTGGCAAAATCTATAATTTTTGACAATGAGCGTGATTCTGCGGAATCAGAAGAATGAAGCAGTGAAGACGAAATTCCGACGTATGTAGTAAAGGCCCGAGAGCTCTCGAAAAAACGGTTTGGACAAAATCTTTTTCGAACTGCTTACATATCTTGAAAGACTTTTGTGAAGATTCTGGACCAAATATTGATTCGGAAGTGGAATCACCTACGGACATGTTCTTACAGATTTTTCCTAATCGGCTTTTGGAACATTTGGTTTTTTAAACTAATTTATATGTATTACAAAAATCAGGTGGTTATTCAACAAACTTTACACCTACTAACCTGAAAGAAATAAAATTGATTGCCATACATTTAGCGATGGGCATAAAAAAATTGCCAAGTTATCGCGACTATTGGTCATCTCGGCCCGAGCTAAGAGATCCTTTTATAAGTTCTGCGATGGCCAGAGATAGATTTTCTTGGATATTAGCTAATATTCATCTAAATGACAACTCAGTGCAGCCAGGGAGAGATTCACCAAATTATGACAAATTATATAAACTGCGTCCTTTATTGCATATTTTCTATGAGACTTACAAAAATTCTTTGAAGCCCTCAAAGAATCAATGATTAGGTTCAAAGGTCGCAGCGCGCTGAAACCATACATGCCCAACAAACCGATCAAAAGGGGATATAAGGTTTGGGTTCGGGCAGAAGAGTCAAGATATGTTTGCCAATTTCAAATATACAGGAAAAGTGGGCCAGATTGTAGAAACAAATCTTGGCTGCAGAGTGGTTCAAAATCTTACAAGAGACTGAGTTGGAAAAGGCTACCACATATATTTCGACAATTTTTTCAACTCTCTCGAACTTCAAAAACGTTTGCAGACTGAACTAACTTACGCTTGTGGGTCGGTTAGAAAAGGACGAAAAAACTTACCAACAGATATAGTTGTGGACAAAGGTTTGAAAAGGGGTGAAGTCGACTGGCGAATCAGCATAGACGGAATGGCATTTGCAAAATGGATCGACAATAGACCCGTCCATTTCCTTTCTAATTATTTGAATCCCAGCGAAACAGAATTTGTCCGTAGGAAGAAAAATGATGGGTTTGTCGAAAATATCGCATGTCCTAAATTAGTCCAACTGTACAATATGCACATGGGATATGTCGACAAAGCCGACATGTTAAAATCTTTATATGAAGTGGACAGAAAGTAAAAAAAATGGTGGCATAGGATTCTCTTTTATTTTATAGATTTGTCACTGGTCAACGCGTTTATTTTGTACAAAATGAAAACTGATTCCCAAACACCATTACCCCTAAAAGTTTTTCGACTCTCTGTCGCGCTTGGATTAGTGGGCGGTGAAAAATGTTTAGCGAAGAAAGGTCGACCTTCAACAACAGCTGTAAACCACTTTCGTACGACAGTTTCGTACGAAGTTCGTTATAATTCCTGAGCGCATATGCCAATTTACGGGAAACCAGGAAGATGCGGTTTATGCAAAAAACTAAAGCGGAACCATATAAATCCAGATGGCATTGTACCAAGTGAGGTTGAAGATTGTATACAAATATAACGTGGTGAAAACTATTGGAGATTTACTTTTGTTTCAGATGTGAAGTTGCAATATACCTGAACAACAGAAAAAACCGCTTTATGGAATATGACAAGAAATTAGTTTTTATGTTTTTCCAAAAAACAGGAACTACATGTTTTAAAAGGTTGTTTAAAATTCTTTTGCACCAGGAAATTTGTTAGTTAGTTTTAGAGATAAAAAATTGAATATATATTCACTATGTCTAATGCCTAGTGTCTTCATGATGAGCACTCCCTTCAAAAGCAACATCAAAAATAAAATATAAAAACTGACCTCCACACAACCTTCAGTTACCCCCATAGAACCAGTATTTACAACGTTTATAGTCTCTTTTTCGTGAAAAATAATTTCGGCCTCAAAGGGCTATAGAGAAATGCCTTAATATTTCTGTTTCAATTCAATACTAAAATCGAAATTAATAAAAAATTATTAAAATTGGAATAATCATTCCATATGTATGGAATAATTATTCCGCGTTCAATTCAGTCAGCGTGTGTTCCACGTGTTTGTTCCATTTCAAATTGTGGTCAATAATCATACCTAGGTATTGAATTTATGTTTTAAGGTGAAATGTATACTTGTCTCTTCGATTTTCTCGTCTTGTCTCTTTGATTTGACAAGTATACAAATGTATAGGTACTTGTCAAATGGAAGATATGCGCCCTGATGTTTTCTGCGTCCTTTCTTGAACCAAATTTCTTCACATTTGTCGATCGATACTGTTAGGCTGTTCATCTTAAACAATTCTGTGATTTTCTTAGATGTCTCGTAAATTAAAATCCTCATGTCAGTGAAGTTACCCCTTAGTAAGGAGGAAAGATCGGCATAGGTCAACAAAGATACACCTTGAGGGAGTATATCAAACATGTCTTTCATATACAGGGTTGCTCATTAGTGCGTCAAAGTGCGATATCTCAGTAAATATGAACTTTACAAGAAAATACGTCCTACGAAAGTTTTTCATGTTTAAAAGGTCCACATTTTAAAATTACTTTCCAATATACGGGGTGTATCATAAACGTGTGGTAGTTACCAACTTTGGTTTTTTAAATGGAACCGCCCATTTTTTCATTCATTTTCAGATTTGTCGTCAAAATTTAAGTTAAGTTTGTGTCAAACGTTTTACCTGAAAAATTTACGATTTCCGAGTTATTCGTAAAAATGTGAAAGTTTTGACAGCTACTGGGTTCCACAGAAATCGATGCTGTACACTACCCGCTGCGAATTTTGGAAAACAGTTTTCAGCGATTCTAACAGAACCCACTCGTTTTGCATATTTCAGTATTAACTCATACGAACGTTTATAGTTAAATAAATACAGATGAATTTCGAAACAACAGAACTAGTTGACATGATCTTTGTTATGGGATCTGCTGGTCAAAATTGTTTGCTAACGCAAAGAATGTATGCGCAAAAATATCCTGATAGGAGACA